CTTTTTGGGAATATTACTTTTATTTATTATTAAAAATTATTTATTATTTTTTTTTAACTTTATGTGCATGCATGTATTGCCTGCATGTAGGTAAGTGCACTCGTGTCATGCAGTGCCCACAGAGGTCAGAAGAGGCTGTTGGATCCCCTGGGACTGGACTTATGGACAGTTGTTAGCTGCCATGTGGGTGCTGGGATTTGAACCCGGGTCTTCTGCAAGAACAACCAGTGTTCTTAACTGCTGAACCATCTCTCCAGCCCTATTTTAAAATATTTTATTTTTACTTTTTAATTGTGTGTGTGTGTGTGTGTGTGTGTGTGTGTGTGTGTATGGAGTATGTGTACATGGGTGTAGGTGCCCTTGGAAGCCAAGGAGGATGTGGAATCCCCTAGTTATAGGCAGTTGTGAGCCTCTGAACATGGGTGATGGGAGCTGAATTCCAGTCCTCCCCAAGAGCAGTACGTGGTCTTAATCACTGAACCATCTCTCCAGTCCTGGAATTTACTTTTTTTCTTTGCTTGGTAATGGATTTTTGAGAAAAAAAAGAATAGAAGCAAAAAATAAAGATACCTTATCCCCGAGAAGCACCAATTTGTATGTGTTCTGTGGCATAGACACATTTTATGAACATTGTATGTTTGAGGCATGATTTCTTGTAAGCAATTTGTAACTGTTATAAACATTCACATAAGAAAGCTACAATCAGAAGTTGTGTTGTAATTTCAAATAGAAGTTATTTTGCTGCCCAATTGTGTATATATTGCAAGGATAATTCTTATTATAGCTTTCATTTGTAAAAAGTTTAGTATCAGAAGATTAGCCTTTGCATTATACTAACCAAAGAACAGGCAATCTTTTTGTTGCTGTGGTTTTCTTTCTTTTCCTCTTCTGTGCTGCTGGGGATGGAGACCAGAGCCTTGCACATATGCCTCCATCTCCTCACTAGAGCGCTGTACTACCACTAAGATAAGCCTGCAGCTTAGCTCACTGTGGGTTCTAAACAAGTGCTCTACAGCTGAGCCATGCCCCCAGCCCCACCTGTTCTTTTATTATACAGAGTGGGGTCTCTTACAAAGCCATATTTATTTGTGAACACCTACCTAGTAGTACGCTGGCTTTTTGTATTAAATTTGTGAAATTAAGTGATGGTTTCTCATAGGTATTAAGATAGTCTTTTTATTATATGCGTTAAAAATGATCTATCCTCTATCTATCTATCATCTATATCTGTCATTGTTAGCTTCCGTTGTCAACTTTACATACTTAGGAAGAGGGAATCTCAATTGAGAAATCACCTCCTTTGGATTGGCCTGTGGGAGCATTTTCTTAATTGCTAATTGCTATAGAAGGGCCCAACTCATTGTGGTGGTACTATTCCTGAGCACATGGACTTGAGCTATAAGAAAAGTAACTGAATGTGAGTCTGGAAACAAGCCAGTAAGCAGCGTTCCACCATGGCCTCTGCTTCAGTTCCTGCCTCTAGGATCCTGCTTAAACTCCTGCCCTGACTTCCCTCAGTGATGGACTGTGATGTGTAAGCTGAAAGAAACCATTTCCCACCCAAGATGCTCTTAGTCATTGTGTCTATCACAGGGACAGAAAGCAAACTAGAACATGATCTATGTGTGTGGTGTGTGCAAGTGTGTGAACAGGTATGGGATTCTCCTCCTCAGAATGTCTTCTACCATTTCTTCACTTAATTTTTGAGCAAGGTCTCTTCACAGAAACTGAGGCTTGCCACTGGGGCTAGACTGGCCACTAAGACCCTGGGATCCACCGATTTCTGTCTTCCAGAACTGGGATTCTAGATACAGGAGTATCTGGTTTTTTACATGGGTGGAGGGGATCCAACCTCAGGTCTTCATGTTGTGCAACAAGCACTTTACCCACTGGGTCCAACCATGAGCTACTCGGCAAGGCAAGTGATACACAAGGCCCTTAACCCCGGGTACCTTGGGGCAAATGAAGCAATCCAGTTTGAGTAAAGAAAAATCAATTTCCATTTGTACCCTTCTAATGTAGAGCATGTTTTTCAAAATCAGTATAAGCCAACTGCCTTTGCCTAGGTTTCTTTTATTATTATTTATTTGTGTGTGTTTGTGTGTGTATGTGTGTATGGGTGCACATGTGCACACATATGTCACATCATGTATGTGGAAATCAAATGACAACTTGCTAGAGTGAGTTTTCTCCACCATGTGGGTTCTGGGGATCAAACTCAGGTCTTTAGGCTTGGCTGTGAAAACTTGCTGATCCATCTTGTCAGCTTGTTCTCTCTCTCTCTCTCTCTCTCTCTCTCTCTCTCTCTCTCCCCTCTCCTCTCTCTCTCTCCCACCCTCCCTCTCCCTCTCCCTCATTCCCCTTCCTTCTCTCTCTTCCTTCCTCTTTTTATTTTCTTTTTTTTTTCTGAGTATTAAATTGAGGACCTCAGCCATGTGAGGGGAGGACTCTACCACTGGGCATATATCCCCAACCCTCTTTTTATTTTGTGAAAAGGTCTCACTAACTTGTCTATGCTAACCTTGAACTTGAGTAGTCTTTCCTGCTTCAGCCTCCCAGTGCTGGGATTTCGGACTGTGCCATCCACCTGGCCATCCAAGAAATCAGTTTTCAGAGTATTCTTTTTCACTCCCTGAGACCAGCAGTGTAGTCTCAGGCCAAGATCTCCACCTCCTCTGTTCACAGTGGGGCATCAGTGAAGATCAGGAAATATCATAGGGATCACAGCTTCAGTTTCTAATTTCATACCACCACCATGGCTAGTAGCCTCTTTTTTTGTCCCATTAAAGCAATCACTTTCAGGCTGGGGATGCAGCTCAGTTGATTAAAGTATTTGCCTAGCATGCATGCGCCTCTGAGTTCAGTCTCTAGTACCCCAAAACCAAGTGTGGTGGCACATGCCTGTAACCTCAGCACTCAGAAGGGGAAGATGGGAGGGGCAGGAATTCAAGGTGAGCTTGTGCTGCACAGCTAGTTTGAGGCTAGCCTAAGCTACTTAAGACCCTGTTTGAATAATCAATCAATCAATCAATCAATCAATCAGTCAATCAGTCAGTCGGTCAGTCGGTCAGTCAGTCATCTTTATTAGTAGATTTTTGGGTTTTTTGTTTTGTTTTGTTTTGAGACAGGATCTTACATTGTAGCCTATGCTCGCCTCAAACTTGAAGCAGTCTTTCTGCCTCAGTCTCATAAATGCTGATATTACAGGCACACACCGCCATGCCTGACTGAGAAGGGATTTTTGAAACATTTTATTTTTAAAAAATTAATTTTATTTTTATTTTGTGTATGAGTGTTATGCCTGCATGTATGTAAGTGCACCCATGTTATGCAGTGCCTGTGGAGGACGGAAGAGGGCGTCAGATCCCTGGAACTGGAGTTACCAATGCTTGTTAGCTGCCACATAGGTGCTGGGATTCAAACCTGGATCCTCTTCAAGAACAGCCAGTGCTAGTGGGAAGGCTTCTCTCACAATTTGTTTGTGGTGTGGTGTTTTGAGCAGGGAAGTTAAGGCTTTGCAGGGGGGCCATGGTTCTAAGGGTTAAGTTAACAGTAGGATGCTAAAGGAAAATCCCAAACTGAACTTCTGTTTCTGTACCAGCTCTGCCCAGAAGCGGAAGCTGTTCCTCCTGACACCCCTGCTGCTGGCTCCCTCTCTTCCCACAGATTATAGAGATGCAGCCCAGCCAGAGGGACAACTTATTGTCCAAACTGTCAAACCAGCGTGAGGACCAGCACCTTTCAGTGCCAGAGCCTTGCTGTCTTAACAGTGGTGTTGTACCCCTCCACATGCAAACACGTGTACATACATAATACTTGCACACACAAATGCATATGTGCTCACATGCACATACATATAAGCACACGTGTACATGCCACACACATGCTCACACATATAATCACACATGCACACAAACACACACACACTCAACAGGACCATAAACTTTGTGGCCTTCAGTGTCGTTTCCGGCTCAGTTCCCATCAGAATGTTTAGGTCACAGGACAGAGAGTTGCTCTGCCTCAGTCTCCCACCCCTCACCTCCTGAGGACTGTGCATTTTGGCCCTAGCTGTTGGCTTCTGTGTGTTCTCTTTGCTTCAGGACAGTGGGTTTGCTGCCCTGTTCCAATTCCCATCTCTGTCCAAACATGACCGTTTAAAGACTTGGATTCTTTTCTGTCTCGTAATTTTTTTTCAGTCTCAATAGGAAACATCACAAGGAATACTAAGTTGGTATTTTGGCACAAAGGGGAAGAAGAGAGAGAAAGAGGAAGGCAGGACTGACAGAGATGGAAGAATGGGTGGAAGGGGGAAGAGGGGATGGAGAAGAGAGGAGCACTATTTCTGCTCTGGATACCTGGAGGCATTGGGAAGACCACCAGGTCCCAAGATCAGCCTATCCTTCACTGGAGGCCTCTGCCCACTTGTGTTCTTTGGATCTCCCTCCTTCACCTCTTCTTCCTCTTCCTCCTCCTCCTCCCCCTCCTCTCTTCTTTGTCTTCCTCTTCTTCCTCCTCTTTCCCCTTTCCTCTTTTTCTCCTCTCCCTCCTCCTCCTCTCCCTCTTCCTCCTCTCCTCCCCTCCCACTTTCCTCCTCTCTCCCTGTCTTTTCCTCTCTCATCTTCCTTCTTTCCTCTTTTGTCCTAAAGATTGGGGAATACTTGCTTTCCACTTGAGGATGTACCCCCAAATGGCACTTCCAGAGCCCCCCTCTTTCTCAGAGCAGGTGCCCCCAAGCTTCAGAAACCCTCCTACCATCAGCCCTGTGAAGCTGAAGTTGTACAAAGCTGAAATTGAGACTTTCTTTTTTTGTGCTTCTACCTAGAGATGCTGTTATTAATGGAAAAACCTATTAAAATGAAAGTAACCCGGTGCTCCCAGTGCAGGTGTGGCTGGCTTACAGCTGTTTCCCAAAAGGAATGTTTAATGACTTATTTCTAAAAAGCATTAAATGGATTGATCATCAAATTAACTTTTACCCCCTTTTCTCTTCCTTTCAAAAGCCACATGCTGTTGGTAAGATCTTTGTCCAGAGCCAAGGTAAGAACATATATATAATACTTTATTACATTTATTTCTTTGTGTGTGTATTTGTGTGTGTGTGTGTGTGTGCTTACAAAACTGCACACATGTGAAAGTCAGAAGATGAATTATGGGAGTTGGTTCTCACTGTTTACCACATGAGTCCCAGGGATTGAACTCAGGCTTGGTGGTAAGCACCTGACCTGCCTAATCATATCACCCAGCTCAAATTATATTCTATATTTTAAGAGAATGTCTGTGGACGAGATAATATAATTCCTGAGATATTCTTAGAATAATAGTATGGATACATTTATTATTTTCTAACATTGGAATAAAGGATGAATAATTATAAAATAATAATGAAACACAGATGACCATTTTTCCCACAGTGGAGGTCTGGTCTGCTCCATTCCTGGGGTTTTGCTGTTGCTTTTTGATCTAACCTAGGCTGGCCTTGAACTCCCTATGTAGCTGAGGATGAATTTGAATTCCTGATCATCCTACATCCACCTTCCAAGTGCATGTATTACAGGCTTGAATCTAGTGTCTTATAAAACACTATGCAGGACAGAGGTCTGAGCTCCTCTGAGTTGCCTTGAGTGAGGGGATGTAGACTCTTCCCCAAGGCCACCCTTCACCCCACCCAGTCCCTCTTGATGGTGGCCCATGGCCCACAGCCCAGCCTGTGACTCACTTAGTGAGTCCCATTCACTCTTGAAAAGTGTCTTAGAAGGCAGAGAGTTGACAGAGGAAGTCCATAGAAGGACTCAAGACTGATTTAACTTGGGTGAGCACAGGTGCTGTGGCTGAGGCAGGGAGGAGGGAGTTGTGCCAGCTCCATAGGCCCCTCTTGACTCTTGTGCACCTTGTAGGAAGAGATTCTGCTTCTAAAACCATCAGTGGAAGTGGAGCTTGTTGGCACTTACCTATAATTCAGAACTGGGGAGGTAAAGGTGGAAAGGTCAGAGGTCACCTGAGTTCCAGGCTAGCCTAGGCTACATGAGACCCTATCTCATTTTTCTTATTCTAAAACAATATTTTATTTATTTTTATTTATGTGTATGAGTGTTGTCTACGCATATGTAAGTGTACCCATGTCATGCAATACCTGAGAAGGTCAGAAGAGGGCATTGTATCCCCCGGAACTGGAGTTGTGGAGGGTTGTTAGCTGTCATGTGGGTGCTAAGAATCAAACCTGGGTCTCTGCAAGAGCAGTCAGTGCTCTTAACTGCAGAGCCATCTCTCTAATTCCCCTATCTCATTTTTCAAATGAGCTTTTTCCATTGTGAAAAAACTGTGCTCCCAGGGATGTGGGAAGTGTGTTTGTGTGGCCTGGACTTGGAGCCCCTTCCTCTGCTGTGACTGTCTCCTGCAGAGGGAGAGCTTCTTAGCACCCCTGCATGTTGCCAGGGTCAACCTGTTTGACCTCTTTGAAACTCTACCAGCTGCATACATTGGCGAAAGCGACCGTACCCACACATACCCACAGATCTTAGAGCTCTAGGCAGTGGGCAGAAGGTACCTGCTGAGTAGCTTGGTCTGTGTTATTCAGGGCAAATGACGACCTCAGTATGTCAGAGGAAGCTGGATGACATAATTTACATTATACAACTGTCCTTGTTTTATTTCTGTGACTGTGATACAATATCTTGACAAAAATTAACTCGGGGGAAAAGGGTTTATCTTAGCTCACAGTCCCAGTTTACAGTCCATCATAGCAGGACGTCAAGGCAACAGCAACTTAAAACAGCTGGTCACATCACACCCACAGTCAAGAGTACCGCATATATGCTTAGTACTCAGCCCACTTTTTCTCATCCAGGACCCTCTGCCTAGGGAATGGTGGGCCCATATCAATTAGCAATCAAGATAATCCCCCACAGACATGGCCACAGGCCAACCTGATCTGGACAGTCTCTCATTAAGACTCTTCCAGGGTGATTCTAGGTTGCCGTCAGTTTGACAATTAAAACTGACCAGCACAACAGTCCCCTCCCATCTGCATTCATTATATATACCAGGAAGACTGGTCTGCAACTTACACTGTAACCCAGGCTGGCCTTGACCTTGGAACGAATCTTCTGCTTTCAGCCTCTTACGTGTTAAGGTTATAGATGTCACACCTGGCTGAAATGTCCACTTGTATGAAAGAGTTAAATCTATGACTCTCTTTGAGTAAATGATAGCATCTATCGACTTTTGGAATTTTAAATGAAGGTGAATTTTTACACGGGGCTGTTAGAATTTAGGTGCTAATGTTTTAGAAGACTTTCCTATACATCTTTAAAGAACTAGAGATCTGTGTGAGCCTAAGGAGGTTTGTCCCGGTGATGGTACTGGGGGCCCAAGTAGGCTGGTGATTATGGCAATCCATGGCATACTGAACCTTTGTGCCCAGTGAAGCACTCAGGATTCTGAATGGATTTGTCTTGTTTTTTCGTTGTTGGTTTTGAAATAGGATCTCCCTATGTAGCGCTGGCCTGCCTGGAACTCTCTATAGACCAGGCTGACTTTGTACTTAAGGATATCTGTCTACCTCTGCCTCCCAAGTGATGGAACTAAGGACCTGTACCACTACGCCTAGCTCTGAATGGATTTTTAAAAACCAAAACTTCAACCTACCATGACGGTGTCAGTGAAGTGAATTTTCTCTTGTTCCTTTGACCAGGAGTTTCAACGATACCAAATGACACCTTTAATTGGAACACCTTCCTCGAGTGCTCAGGTACAGCATGGCATCCCCTCCTGGGACCTTGTCCCAACCACCTCCTGCCATTCACCACATTCATGTACTAACCAGGCTTCCATTAAAAAATATTTACATTTGTTTTACAGTTTTAAAAATTACGTTTATTTAGTGTGCGTGAGTATGTGTGTACGTGCGTGTGTGTGTGTGTGTGTGTGTGGTGTGTGTGTGTGAGTGTGTGTGTGTGTTTGTGTTATATGCATGCACCATGGTGCACTGTGAAGGCCAGAGGACAACTCCTGGGAGTTGATATTCTCATTTCACTGTGGGGGACCCAGGGATTGAACTTGGCTTGTTAAGCTTGGCAGTAAGTGCTTTTATTCACTGAGCCATCTCATAAGCCCAAGGTACAGCCTGGTTACTTCTCAAACTCATGATTCTCCTGCCTCTACCTCTTCAGCATCTTACTGGTGTGTACCACCACAACCAGATTAACTAGGTTCTAAAAGAGAGGTGGTCATGTCACAGAAACTGGTTGGCTCTGGTGGACTAGGGCAAGAAGAAGTATCATGGATTGGAATAAGAGGAACAAGAGGAGTCTGTTCTCCCCTTCCACCATGTGGGTCCCAGGACTTGAACTCAAATCATCAGGCTTGGCATCAAGTGCCCTTACCAGCTGAGTCACCTCACCAGCCCTGTCTAACTTAATCTTTTGAAAAGAGAGCCTGTCATGTTATAGACATTGATCGGTTCGGGTGGAAGAAAGGGAGGAAGCAAAATGAGTTGAAACAAGGTGAGGTGAGTCTGAAGAGGAGAACAAACTTGCAAGTGTAACTTGGCTTATCTTAACTGGTGGTTGGCAGGGCTGGGAGGCAGAGGGACTGTTTCTAACATGTGTTGGCATGGAACCCAGGGGTGTGTGCATGCCAGGTAAGTGCTCTAACACCAAACTAAGTCCTGGTTCCCCAGCACCTGCTTCTGATTATCACTCTGTGTGACATCTGTTCTTTTTCAGTGACATCTGTTATTTTTTAGAGCAACAACCTTGTGTGTTTACTCTGTTGGTTACATGATAAATGAACACTGTAGAAAAAAGAAAAGGAAAGTTTATATCACTTGAAATCTCACCATCAAAACTGTTCCTGCTGTTTGCCATGACCTTTCTTAGCAATTATACATATCTTTAAATTGATGTTTTTGAAGCAAAAATAACACAAAACTGTACTAACTACTCTAACCTGCTTAATCCATTTTACAAATAAGAACAGATATACTATCTTTTAAAAAGCTTCTTCTAAATGACACTTCACATTTTGTGAAAAGCAGAGAATTGAAGGGTAAAATTAGGTGAGTTTTGATAAACTTACATACCCAGGCACTAGATAGTCTGGCTGACCTGGGCGCACTCCCTCCACTCAGCTGTTTTGTAGAGCCCTCTTTATATTTAATTCTGGTCCTTGGTGAGCAACCCCTCCTCCAGTTTCTGTCATCACAGGCAAGCTCTACCTGTCTGAATTTCATCTTAGTGAATCCAGTGGAAATATTTTTCTATACATGGCTTTCTCTGCAAAGCATGATTTTTTGAGCTTCATCTGTCTCATTGTTATCTGTAGTTCTTTCTCCACTGTTGCATTATAGTCCACTGCATAGACCAGGCTAGCCTCAATCTCACAGTACTGTCTTCCAAGTACTGGGATTAAAGGTATGAGTTGCTGCTCCTGGATTACCATTTTTTATATAGCTATAACTTTTATTGAATTTGTTTTCAGTTTCACACATGTATATAGCACATTTTAATTATTGTCCTCCCACTCTCTATGAACCCTCCCCCCCAAATCCTTTTACCTTTCCCTTTGCCGAGTCATGTCTTTTTGTAATATTTTATAACTTGATGAGTCTAAGCAGGACTGTCTGTGTGACCACAAGGAGCCGGGTAATTCAACAGTAACTGAAGATATTGCCCATCCCTCCTCCAGCGTCATCAGTAGCCAATGCATCAGTCAGGGTGGGGGTGGATCCCTGAGTCCCTCCCTATCCATGACTAACTCTTGATGGCCCCAGTCTTTAAAAAGATATTTTATTTATTTATTTATTTATTTATTATTTATTTATTTATTTATTTATTTTTGGTCTGACAGGGTCTCCCTGTAGCCCCAGTTGGCCTAGAACTTACTATGTAGACCAGGCCTGCCTTGTCTACTGAGTGCTGGGATTAAAGGCATGTGCCACCACACCTGGCTTTAAGTAGGTACTTTAAAAAAAAAAAAAATTATCTCCTTTTTTATGA